TTGTGTTTCTTCCATTTGCGAATAATCGCACCAACTGTTGTCACCTTCTCACCAAGCTGCTTGGTGATGGTCTTGTAGCCCATTCCAGCCTTGTGTAGGTCTACAATCTTGTCCCTGACATCCTTGGCGAGCTCTTTGGTCTTGGCCATGGTGGAGAGTTTGGAGTCTGATTGATTGATTGCTTCTGTGAACAGGTGTATTTTATACAGGTAACAAGCTGAGATTAAGAGCACTCCCTTTAAGAGTGTGCTCCTAATCTCAGCTCGTTACCTGTATAAAAGACACCTGGGAGCCATAAATATTTCTGATTGAGAGGGGGTCAAATACTTATTTCCCTCATTAAAATGAAAATCAATTTATAACATTTTTGACATGCGTTTAACTGGATTTTGTTGTTGTTATTCTGTCTCTCACTGTTCAAATAAACCTACCATTAAAATTATAGACTGATCATTTCTTTGTCAGTGGGCAAACGTACAAAATCAGCAGGGGATCAAATACCTTTTCCCCTCACTGTATATACATTACCGTGGGTTCCCTCTGCTAGATTTTACAGCTAGTGTACAGCCAGCACCTGAACTCTAATGTCCACTTTTGGAGCCTCTTAACACCTGTATCTACAACGTCCCTTTGGTCACTGACTTCTGGGTGTCACTCCAACGTCCAGCTTAGGAAACTGCCTTCTTCTATCCTGCAGATAGTTAATATACATCCCAACATTCTCTTCATGGTTACATTTTAATTGCTTTCCTGGTACACTCTTCTGAACTTCCAAGTTATTTAGGCTTTCTTGCCTGAAATTGAACATATTTTGCGTGCATATTTTGAGGCTTGAATACAAAAAGAGGAATACGTGGATAAGGAAAAAATATATAGTTGAAAGTTAGAGGCATATTGACTGTTAATAACAGTACGTGAACTTGGACAACACACCATTGTAAAGGATGATGAATGAGACTGGCAATTGAACGGCAACCAAAAGACAGAACATACCGAGAGGAGGTCAACAGTGGAGATGCAGTCATGAGATTAGCTCACATGCAGGAGCAAGTTGGAACATGGCTTCGCAAGACTCTAATACATGTTTTTCTTTAGGTTATATCACGTATAAATCTGTCGTTAACCCGCCACCACCCGGCACAGCCAATTAGTAAGGTTTTTCGTAAGGTTTGCCAATTAGCTAGTACTTCAGCACAATTGTGGGTTCACTCTCCAACACACCGGTGTGCTGAAGTAGTAACTAACTTGCACGTTTTGTTCATGTGACAAGCCTTACTCATTGGCTGTGTGGGGTGGTGGTGGGTTGAACGACTCATTTTTATTTAGGCGAACTAACACAAAAAACCTTTGTTATAGGTAAAATCATGAGATATGGGGAGGCCTTCATCCATTCGTGGATAGCTCATGATAATGATATGTTTCATTAAATTGTAGCTGCCACTAAGAAAAAAATGTTTCAGATACAATTGCCAAAAAGAGATGTTTATCATACGCATAATTTCAAAAACGATACATTTTGGGGGGGTTATTTAGGCTTTGGCCGATCACACAATAGCATATTCTTTATTGCAAATTACATCACACCGCCTTTAATGGCTACCCAAATTTTACTGGTATGCTAATAGAACTGCACATTTGATTGTCTCATTGGGGATCATGCATTCCACTCGTTTACCCATATATATTTACCATATGCTATGCAGTGGCACTGCTTGTAAAAGCAGTGCCACTGTACTTTATACATCTACCGTTTCCCTGTGAATGCTTTTTTATTAGTTTGTTGTCATTAGCCTTACATTTTAAAGATTCCATTTAATGTAGGTCACAGGTTTCCCCAACCAATTAAGCAAAACTTGTTTTTAAACACCCACGGTGTATTTCGCAAGTAATGTCTCGATGTGTTTAGTATTGTACACTCTTTGAAGATTCCATACTATTTTTTTGACAAGCTACACACCAAACACCTACATATAACAACAGGGACACTATCTACATAACCTCTGTCCTATCTACTGCTGATAAATAATTGCTCTGATACCGTGAACAACATCCATCCATCTTATTGTCCTTGTTAAAGCCGGGAAAAATAATGTTGGCAATTTTTCAAGTTGAAAAGTATTTTGGACTGAGGTCGTGTTGGCAAGTCCTCTTCCTCACGGATTACTAACAAGCTGTGTGCTTGCTTTCGCCGTCCGAAAAGGCAGTTTCAAGATAAAAAATAATACTCTAGTAGGAAACACCTCTGTCGTGGTGCATACAGCTCAGCCCAAAGTGGCCACGCAGTTCAGTTGTGTTCACATGGTGAGGGGGGGACTCACAGGACAGATATCACAGATTCACTCTGAGTAAATTCCCATGTAAGTAGCCAACGCCCGTGTTCGAGTCTTTCGCGTATTTTCAGATTACGCACCACAATCTTGGTATTTGGTGGATTTAAAGTTTAAATGTTGCTGGACCAAGTTGCCTTTTCCTTGCAAAGATGGATCCGCTACTTGGGCGGTGCTCTCAGTATACAGGCCCAGTTAATATGAAATGGCGTAGATTTTTTTATTGCGGTCGTGCTGCTGTAAAGCTCTCTGATGGTTTTTTTGCGTTATACCCGCCACACTGTTCGCTGGGCTCGCCGTCCCACGTTTATCTCACACCTCGATTGCACAGCGTTGTCATTGGCTGCTGCTGCTGACAATGCTGCTCAATTATGTGAGCTGCTCAATTCAGCTCCTGAATAAGTTCCCAGCACATTAAGAAAAACGTCGGACATAATGGCGAGCAACACTGGGTACAATCCGAAAACATGTCAGAGAGCTTGAAACCGTCTAAAGCATTTATTTATTACTTTTGTCATCATTGTCTGAGTTCCCTTCTGATTATCACTGTTCTAATATCAATACATATTTGATTTAACCTGCTATTTATTTGTGACAGCTTGGATTACTACATCGGTTTCCACTGGATACAATGCTTTTTTCATTGTCTACAAAAGCCTGGCATAATGGTATTCCATGTTCGTTTGTGTTTTCTCAATTCTGATTGAGAATATGTATGGCGTGAATGGTATTCGAAAACGAGCTACTTTTTTGGTTGGCTACCCTTTATATTCACCAATATTCGGTTGTTTAGGATCTTTGTGAACATTGTATATGCATTATGATAAAGAGCTAATGGGTCTGTAATTCGTCAAATAAATTGTGTTAACATTTTTTTTATATAATAACCACTGATGCATCCTTCTGCTTTCAAGATTTCTTTTTAAATATTTAGGATATAGGTTTCGTTATTGTTGATCCAACGGATGTTCTCTCATTGATTATGTTATTCACCAGTTATTCCACCTTCTCCACAAACCTTAATATTTTTTTCACGTTTTAATACATTATTTTTATAACACACGTATTAACCCTTAATGAAAGTAAGATATGTGCTTGTGTTGTGGCCGAAACGTCGTGAGAATTATATTTTATTATTCGTATTTTTTATTATTTCCCTTCTACGTGACTTTACCGAAAGAACCAAGAATATAAGATATGTGGTGTTTACCATAATCCCATTCACTCACACAGTGTATCCATTCTACAGTATGAATGCATCCTTATTAAAATGCACTTTCATGAAAATGCGTTTATTTTTCAAGGGATGATAAACTTTACAACACCAAATCTGCTAATTGAAACAGCAGGTACCTTCAAATGGCCACAATATGTTGTGAACAACCAGTGGTGTAGAAAGAGCCTCCATTTCTGCTATGTTTGGAACGTCTCATGAGATGCAAGCTGGTGATCGGCTTTATTTAATCTAATAAGTAAAACAACAAAAGTGCACGAGTGCTATATACACAGACACTATAACCATTGGTTGTTATATACGACACCAACATACTTGCAGCAGAAGAGTCAAGAGTGTCTCCGTGATAAAACTATCGTTGGTTGGTTCTCACCTCCATAGGAATTCCTAAGCTGGAGGTGGATATTCCACCTTTTAATCTGTCTATAGCATAACCATTTTTGGTTTAAAGTGATAGTCATTTTATTAATCCCTAAAGAGATGATGTGCTACTTTTAATTTGCAAACTCCCGAGTAAGGTGATCTACCACAGTACCATTCAATACAAGTATGAAGTAGGCTCAGCGGGATGGTGCCATGGTGTAATGGTTAGACTTTCAATGCAGAGGTCACTGGTTCTATTCAACCGTCTGGTGTGGCAGTTGATCCAATGGTGCAAGTTTCTTAGAATCCATCCCACTTCTGTTCACCCACCTTGCATAAATGGATAAACCGCAGTTAGTCAATCGGGAGGTCACACCTTGGTGGGGTAAATTTTGGGCACTCCCACCTCTCCCAAGATGTCTGGTCAATGTGGAAAAGTAGCCCAACTTCTCTATTGTAGGGCTCTCTGGAACTCTCTCTAGGTGAGGGCCTTCCATAAGCAATGGCATTAGCAAGAAATTGCAGGGCTGTACATTAACGCTGCACCTTACTAAGTAGACTTATTTTGAAGCCTCGCCAAAGTGCTTATTCTGCTATGTTTCATATTGGGGCCTTTGAAGGGATGGAGCAGTATGCAATAGGTCAGTGCACTGCACCTGGAATACAGGGAACCAGGCACAGCTCACATCAGTGGCGAGTGAGTAACCAACCCACGTTGAGCAACGTGCTCAACCTTGGCCAAACAACCCCCATGACAGGCGCAGTGTTGGGAGGCATTCATCCAGCAGTGGAGTAACAAAGGGCTGCCAATCCAATGATTCATAGGATAACACAACGTGACTTTTTAGTGTCTCATTTGTATCCACTCATAATGATTATTCAAATGGTCTAAGATATTCCCCCGTGATGCCTTTTCCTCCATGGTTTATATCAGCGGGCAGGCACTGAGACCAGGAATCTCCAGGTCCCCTTCTCTTTCTCATAGTCCTCTGATGCCAATTTTAGAATGGAGCCTCACACGGAAGGGTAATTCAACTGTCGTATCACGGTACACGTGTCACATGCTCTCTACCCACCTTTAAAATTGGGCCGAATGCGCGGGTCATAAAATTGCAGCATCCGGTTGATGATGGTGCTTGTGGTGTTAACAATGGTGACCTCTTCCTTAGAATCATTCCTGAAAAGTGAACAGCACAGCATTTCATCGTACAAACCGACTCAAGGCTTTATTGTAATATGTTTAGGTTGCAATTCTCAAATAACTTTTTTGGTTTCGCAAATTCTTGCCACAATCTCTACCATCTTTGCTATCCTCACGCACATTCAAAGCTTTTATGTTGATATCTTTGCAACGCAAAAAAATGTAAAATGCGAAATGCATGTGATTAAACGAGAAAACAATCGTTTTCTTACTTACCAAATACAAATTCTGATTCTGAATGATCAACTGCATGCTATAAAGTTAGTTAAGAGGCTGCTGAGATACATTTTTATTTCAATGCAGAGTGATGGAATAACTCTAATTAAATTGTCCTTTGTACACTTTATTTACTATTCCAAATGTTTTTATTGGGCCTTCACCATGATCCACCAAGCCTTCCTCTTACATGGAATGTTAGAAGCTGTTTAACAATATTCATCTACTAGCTGCGGTCTGGCCAGCTGAGTGTTCAGTCAATCTTTGCTGAGAACACCCTAGCTGCTACCGTAGGCACACACCAGGTGCTTTCCATCTTGCACCTGGTGAGTGGTTACTGCCAGCAGCTGCCAACGCCGAACCCCGGTTGGCAGTTAACTAACCCAGCAAACTCAGTATCTGAGTTGGGTCTGTAGAACCCTTGGTGGAGGAAATACTATCAGGAGGTCTCCTCAGAACATACACTGCATCCAGCATCATATCCAGCCATCTAGACATAGTCTTACCACTGGATACAGATGCATTTGGACAAGAGAGTGACGTTGAAGTTGCGCAACTCTCCCTCACTTAAATCCAATTCAAAGCGCAAGTCATGACACCATCATTGGGTCGAACTGGCTGCATGCAAAGTGGCCCTATAAAAGTCGACTGAATTCCCCTGGCCAAATTTGAATAGAATATGACATCTTTATGTGTCATCACAAAGAGGATGTCATGGTGGGTGGAGAATTGGCTCGTTTTTTGTTTACATGACAAACCTCACTAATCGGCTCCGTCCGGTGGTGGCGGGTTTAACGACACACTTAATATTTATGCGATCTAACTTAACAAAATCTCTATTATGGGTGGAGTACATTTGGCAGATGGAGGGGGTGCAGGTTACTGCAACACATCTTGGATTGGTCACCGAATGGAATTCAGTTGGAAAAAGCCATTTTATTATTATTGGACAAATCTGGCTAAAGTCTGTTCCTGAAAATGTTCAACTGCGTAGAGCAAAACGTCAGGCATATATACTAAACAACACGTGCTACAACCTGAAATTCGAGAGCAATTTTGACATGTGACGTGCATTCGACATTGTTTTATATTAAGCCCAAGAGTTTCCCCGTAATCACATAAATTGCCGTTTGCATTGCATTGTTGTACTCATTTAATATAAGCATTGTACACTTTACACTATGAGACCTCCTTTACCAGTGGCAAAAATATAGTAATAGGTTTTTACCCTTTCAACTGGTACAAAAACTGACACCTTTATACAAGGCATCATGTTTGCAATAACCACAACACAAGCAGTCAAAATGCAAACAAAAAGAAACAACTCTGATAATGATATGCACTGTCCTTGAAGTTGATTGGTCCACACCCGAGACAGCTTTTCTTAGAGCCTAGTCTCCATTGGTGTTGGACCAGATGACGCCAAAAGGCGTACAACTCAAAAACAACGCACTATCAGAGTGATAGTGCGCTGTTTTTGAGTTGTACGCCTATCATTATAATTATCAGAGTTGTTTCTTTTTGTTTGCATTTTGACTGCTTGTGTTATGGTTATTGCAAACATGATGCCTTGTATAAAAGTGTCAGTTTTTGTACCAGTTGAAAGGGTAAAAACCTATTACCACTGTACACTTTATTTAGTGTATACGATTTAAAATCTGCCTCACAATTTCTAACATATTCAGGTTATAATAGAGTTGAAAATGCATATTCTTTGGGTCTTTCGGTAAAGCCATGTAGATAGAAAAAAAAATGTCGACTGAATTCCCCTGGCCAAATCTGAATAGAATATGGCATCTTATTTTTATAACTACGTGGTTTTACCGAAAGACCAAAATAATATGAATTCTTGCAGTCACGAAAGCTTTAATTCAAGATTGAAAATTAATATTATGTATAGACGTATATGTGTACTGGTGTTAATAGCAAAATCCACACTGCTAATATTTGGCAGATTAACTTAGCATGCAAAAGTTATATTGGGTAATTTTACGTGATTACCCCTTTGTTGTATTCGTGAAGCAACATGTAACCCATTTAAATGTTCTGCAGAGAATTCCACGTTCCAAGGATAGATTTAGCCATTAACCCGAGTGCCTAACTCTGCCAGTGCGTAATACCTGGATTATTTATAACTCAAATAATTGTCAAGATACGATTGTCTGAACATGTCCCTGTACTAATAAAAGTGGACACATGTGCCCCTTGTGCTGAGTGGAAGCTACATTTGAACCTCATGGTGGTACCCTGGGGTACCATAGAACTCCGGCTTTCGCATAATGTCCGTGATGCAGTCATTTTTAGTCTGTTGATGGTCGGCGATGCGGCAATCAACTCATCTCGACGAGCTGTACACGATGCACTGTGGTATATAGAGCGTTCAGGGTTTCAGCGCAATCGTCCTCGCTGCGTTTCAACATCGCGGAGTAGCACTGGTTTCGGATTGATTGGTACCCCAGTTGTGGAGTTAAGTACACCCGTAGAAAAAATAGCATCCCAGAAATAAAATATTTAATTGCCTTGGCCATTTTGTATTATTTTGTACTTCGGGGTACCGCCATAAGGATCATTTGGCCAAAACAAGTCGCACCTCTGAGACATGTCATGGCTTGCTTATGTTTTCGGCTTGCTTATTTAAATTGATGAGGCACAAGCCACAGAAAAAAACAATTTGAATGTGCACAAGCCACAAAGACAATTTCAAGGCCACAGTGCACGCACCTGGGGTCAAGGCACATTATAGATTTTGTGTTTTCCTATCAGTATTGAAGCGAAGCAATGTGCAGGGAAAGCCTGTGTGCCCTTAGCATGTCCACATTTGCATTGCCATGTTTGAGGTTAAGCTGATGAAAGAAAATGATCATGAAGATGTGGCCCCAAGATTGCTTCATTGCTATAGAGCAGTGGAGCAAATGCAGTACGATAAAAAGCATGTGGCCATGGCAGTTTGAATGTTCAAAGCAAAACTCACTGAACAGTGTCCAATGTGCATAGGAACGGCTTTATGCAAAATTCAATACCTGTTCGTGATTGTAAAGAGTCTGATGGTGGTTTAATCATAATTACGTGCCAATTATGAATCTGCTACCCTTCATGTAAATCCACACCTGGTCTTCAACCACATTTTTTTTATTTAACAAAACGCAACTCGGCGACTGCAACGACATCGGTGTGAAGCATGCGAGGGTCTTGCTAGATGCACGTGTTTTATATTCTGGAGAGGCTTTAGCTAACAATGTATTCACTTCAAAGGGTCCTGGATACACCCATGGGGCCAGATGTTGTTGGGTATGTCTTTGTCAGTGAGAATAGGTTTTCCCCTTTTTTCTGGAAACAAAACAGGTGTTAAGATGTTAACACCAAACTGAAACCTTTTACAAGGAATCATGTCTGCATTAATCACAATACTTGTGGTCAGAATGCAAACAAAAAACATACTCTGATAATATATGCATTGTCTTGGAAACTAATTGGTCCACACCAGAGACAACTTTCTTTCGAGCCTTGTCTCAAACGGTGTTAGACCATATCACGTGTCCTGAGGTCGCTCAACAAAAAACAAGGTGACTTGTGCACAGGCTGACACATCGATACGTGCTGCATATGTAGAATATAAATGGTGTGGACAGGGATAGTGGTGGGGGCAGGTTTAAACATGTCATTTGCTCGTTCAATCTGAGGGCCTATAGGAATGTGAGCTTCCAAGTATATTCAGCCATTCAAATTATTCTTGTTTCAATTTCTGGACCCAAATGCATCCAAATTCCTGCTATCTTTTTTTCCTCCATTTAAATGAATTGTGATGAGCAGAACATGTTAAACAAAAGTCAAACGTATGAGAGGAATTGTGAATAATGATGCGTTCCACCTAAATTAGACCTCATTGTAAGTTTTTAGCGAGCACCCATCACACCAGAAATTTGGCACAGAGAGGTGATGGGGGTCAAATTGAAAACACGCTTGACTTTCTCTGCTTCCCCATGGGAAATAAAAATAGACACAACTACTCGTGATTTCAGGCTGAGTTAACTTAGTGACTTTCCAGGTGGGTTATACAAACCAATATCTAGCACTTTATGTCGCCAGGAATTTAACTTACTGTGCTTTTATAACGAGTAGCCTTGTGACCAAAGCATTGCTCCACACACACACTGTGGGGTGATGTGATTGCAGGATACAACTAAAATGAATGGCCAAAAAAAGTAATGTAATTCATTACAACGATCAGGTCTGTGGCAATGTAATGCATGTCATTGTGTGTTGTATGACACACTACCTCTAAGTATATAACAAAGGCTGGGGCAAATGACACATACAATAGGCGACACTTTGCCCATTCTAAAGCATCCATTCTCTGTATGCACTTAACAGCACCTTGCACACAGCTCACATAAAGCGTGCCATATAAAATGGCTTCCACACCAGAGGCGCATTTACGCGGCGGTGAAAAGTGCATAAACAAAGACTCACCGAGCCAGTGTGGTCTTTGTGGTTGAGCTGTAAAGTGCAGGAAATGATAGACGGGTTAGAAATAACAGCAGCATTTAGCATGCAAAACAAACAACCGCGGGTTTTCTTCCATATTCTGCAGTGAATAACATTTTACAGAACAGTAAGCAGCAGTATTGGTTGCATTGTTTTAAATTCAATGTGCAGCACTAAGCTCAGTCTCCCAGTGATATCTGCAATGATATTACAAACATTACACTTTTACATTTGTTTCCCATCAATATAATTCCTCCTGCATCTCGCATTTCTTTAAGAAATTAATGACGTTTGACATATACATCTGCTCAATGACTTTTGAAATAGATGAGAATACCCTAATTAAAATAGCAAATGACTACTGAGTATTTTTAAATGGAATAGTGTGCATGTCATTGACCCTCTGGGGTAATTTTCCAGGGACTAAATGCCAAATTTCCATGGCAGATCCATTGTGTGCTGTACCCATTCTTGGACCATTCCTGTCCTGATGTGTGTAAGCAGACCGATGATAAGTCCCACTGAGCTATGTAGATCTTTTTTTCAGAAGCGACCTGGCCACAAATTATATCTCAACGAAGGGGCTTATCACGTGGAAATTTATCTCAGCCAAATACTCTAAACGCATGTTTCTAAATGTGGAGGGGGAAAAACGAAGGACGCGGAGAAAAATCCATGCGACCACGGGGAGAACATGCAAACTTCAAATATGCAACAGGCGTCAGGGTTGGGATTGCATCTAAAACCTCCTGCATACCAGCTGTACCAGGAGAGTACCAAATTAGTCGCGTACTGAACGTATCAAAGTTCTGTTGTATTAAAAAGCAACAGTGCTAATAAGCAAGGAAAAGGTTGAACCCTGCGATAGCTTGCCCATGCCACTGCTGACCGAAGAGCGCTAGAAAGCTATTCCAGAGGGTATTTTTCCCGACTAATCCAGACAGGCCAGGACATCTTGGAATAGTTATATCTATGGGACTTTTTGTTTCTATTTTGGTGTTTTTTTTACATCTTAACACCTGTTTCTTTGCCAGAAAGGGTCAAACCTATTTCTATTTTTCAACATCTTTGAAGAGGTATGAATCCTCACACTTTACAAGAAATACACGATTTGATGAACATGATTTAAACATAATCTAAACACGAATTAAACTATACATTATAACGTTTCAAAATATTGCATTCCAAATAATCCCCTTGTGACCTCACCTAGATTTATGCGAAGTGAAGATATGACCTCTTGAGGTCAGAGACTAGGCCACATATGATAGGGATAGAGAGAGGTTGGATGCTGGCGGGGTGGGATAATAGGAGATACAACTATACGCGATGGCCATTTATGTTGAGTGAACTGTAGATTAAAGCACTTCTAAGTCACCTTTATTCGAACTCGAAGGACAAGGAAATCATAAACACAACAGTGTATACATATTAAATACCACGCAATTGTAGAACACCAATATCACAATAAATCGTCATATCGTGCAAATTCATAACTTGTTTTGTTACGTCGTGAAAAATTACATCATCCTCATCTATACAGTTACTTCAATGCGTGACTTGGCTAAAAGCAGAATACACCAGCAAAACTCTGGTATGATGATAACTGTCCTCGTGAAAGCAGGAGTGCATATATTCAAGTGGCATGCAAGGTTCAATAGGGGCAGCCGTGTGCTCTGGTATGGGCATTTACCCACTGAGCCATGAGGCCCATCTCAATGTCGAGTTTTATCACTCTGGATTTCCTTCCACGTGGTGGTCGGGTTATTGGTTGACAGTGATGGAATGATTACATTCTTCACGCTATTGTGAAGGGGCAACATCCAATGATAGATTTGTGGTGCTCGTACGAACAGCTTATTTGTTTTGTGCAGTCAAAGAATGTCCGTCTGTGATGACAGAAATCGTCAACTGAATATATCAAATTTTATTTCACTTTTGACTTTGACAGATACTTGCAGTGCTAAGCATTTTCCACGTCAGATCCGCAAACAGCAAAATACCCATAAGTCTCACAACAGTTATAATTTTCTTCACTGTCTACAAAACCACGCTGCCTTCATACTTATGTTTGCACGTTGAACTTCGTTCACACCGTACATAGCCAACCGTGCTCGTCAGAGGTGGTGGGGTGGAAGGACAACAAACTAAACACACAAAGCAGTAACAAATAAATGCGTTTTAAATTTAGATTTAAAAGTGCCCAACTGCATTGGGTATAAAAGGTAAAGGTGTAACACTGTAATTGCTTCCTAACGCCACTGCTGGTGGAAGTTTCCTTCAAAAGAGTGAACTCTATCTAGGGTATCTGTTCTACCATTTGTTCCACCAAACATCACCTGCCGATTGAAGGACTCTGATGTACACATTTATTTACTGCTACTAGGAGGATGGAGATGGAGGGATTTAAGAGACCACAACTCTGATTAGCATGGTTGGATACATACTGTGCGAAAGAAGTCCAACATACATACACTGGCACCATCGCTTCAACTGCCGCGCCAGATGATGGAATCGAGCCAACGACCTCTGGTTTGCAAGTCCAGTGCGATAACCAATTTATCATGGCAGCTCCCTGCCTTCGTATACTATGCATAATATTAAAGTTAATACTTTAACCATATTATTTGGTTTGTTTAATCATCATTAGAAACACAATATAATACGTAAAAAATACCTGGATATGTCTGTAATGGGTTCAACCGAGTCGCAGACGTAGACTTTGGAGGCAACGCATTTTATTTAGTTCCAACACACAGGTTAATTTCCCCTTAACAGAATAACAACCTAAGGTGGTGACCACCCGGCTAACTACACTAGTTACTACATAACTGTTACTACGGACCCGGGACCAACAATATCTGCCCTGGTCCACGTGCTGGAAGACTCGTTGAACGGAGATCGTAGACGAAGGGTTTCTTTCCTGGGATGAACAACTCTGGTCCCTCTCGGGACTCGGCTGATATTCTCTATGGCGTGGCCGGCTCCGCCCTTGGCCACGTCCACTTTCCAGAACCCTCGGGAAGAATCTGGGTCCCAATCACGTGACCCCCCTAGCCCACTCTTGGGACCCCTACCTGGTCACGTGTCCTCCCGGGTCAACCAGAGTGCCATGGCCTCACGCAACCTTACCCTTCGGTCGGCAACCACACACCCTGTCCTGTATGGCCGGCACTGCGCTTATAGCATGGTGCCATCCAGCACTATTATCCAGCGCACACCGTGCCCCTCTCGGGCCGGTACTACACCCACGACATGGTGGTATCCAGTGATATCGTTACATCGCACAACGTGCCTCTCTAGGGCCGGTACTGTACCCACATCGTGGTGACATCCAGCGATGTCACTACACTTCTATTGTATAAATAAAGCATTCCCAGTTGTGCAAAGGGGGAAATGCTTGATTATGGCTTCATCGTGAATCTGCTGCATGAGCCCTCAATAGCTGGGATATGCCGCATAAAGTGAAAAACCAACTCTTTAATTGTTGTGTGTGTCTGTGTTTGAATATGTGTGGGGAGTGCTGGCGCACTGGTTACTACGCTTCGTTACAAACCCGATGACACAAGTTCGATTTGCACTCATGGCCAATGACAGTGGCGAATATTTTAACTGGTTCTGGGCCTCTCCTAGGTCGACTCAGCCTCAAATAAGTACCTGCTCTGGTGTGTAAACTTCCCCACTATGGAGACAAAGATGGCCGGGCGCGGTGCTGGCCACCCACCTTCTCATGTGCCATGCAGGCCTTCATTGATGCTCACAACCAGCACTTTCCCCAAGAGTCTGTTATGACTCCAAGGGGGATCTTTATATTTTCATTGTATGTGTGAGTGCAACCAACGATAACTTAATTGAGATAATTAAACTCATTACGTTGGAGAAAGTAATTTTATCACTGGTTGGAGCCTAGAAATGAATCCCAGAGGTGCTGACCTCTTTGCCGAGCCTGGACCTCAGCCCCCCTGAGCCAGCCAGCCACTCACACGCATAGCCAAAGTGTTCCCTGAGAAAAAAACATTTCTGCACCACGGCATTACATGAAAGTTAGGCTGGAAAATGTAACATCCCTTGTGGAACAGAGGGTCCACTGGTCGAGTACTAGACTCTGCCAGCAATTTAGAGTCTACATGGATTAATTGAGACTGCATCACGAGTGTGGGAGAGCAGGCCAAAGTGCTGTATTGAGGGACTTCTCTAGAGCTTTCTTTCGTGGAGCCTCTTCCACCAGCAATAGCGTGAGTACATTGCAGGGCTGCTCCATCGCCTTCTTTTTTACCACCACATGATGAATGATCTCACGTGACCTTCAATTGCGCACACGGTGTTGGAGTCACTGCGTCCTCCACTGTTGGCCCACATGACCTGCAGTCACTTAGATGACCCATAATGCGCTTTTGTTCAATGTCCGAGCTTTAGCCACATTGCGTTATTGACTACCTCTACACTCCGACTTGTAGTACGTTATCATCATTTGACCCGATTTGATAGAAACAAGTTAAGATTAGCGATGCTGACTCATGCTGCACACGTTGTACGAGGACACCTTGGTCAATCCACTGCAATGTAATAGGAATAATAGGACCCCAGATAATAGGAGTATTACCGGGCCCTATAGCTTCCATGGATAATAGGATTTGCAGGATAATAACGTCGCAGGTAAGAGGAGTTCTCATGTACACGAAAATGCATGTGCCTCCTGCCAAAAGATATTTGTATTAAGGTTTATTTTATTGTTACTCAGATTATCCCATTTAGCCAGTTTGCCAGCTCTTTTACAAGGTTGGATCTGTGTGGCGCGTGAGCACAGCAGCAACGGCAACAAAATAAATACAAACCATCAATATTGCGGAAAACGAGTACAGCATCCTTAAGGGATAGTGCACAACTCACAAGCGAGGTTAATAAAGGCCGTAAACGGAAACCCACGCAAATAAAAAAAACTGTGGATATGCAATATGAGAACAAGAGGCAGGAGAAACAAGTTAGGTACGGCTCGATAATTTAATATTTTAGTGACATAAAAAAACATGTGCAAGAGGCACGCAAAGAAGGTGAGTTACGGGAACAAGTAATCTCTGCGTTTTCGTTTAATGGGGTAGTAGAGAGAAGGAGTGATGGGAGGGAACCAAGCTGCAGATGAGCGGACAAGGTTATTCCACAAACGTGGCACAGCAAGGCAGAGAGACTTTTTGTTTACCAAACAAAGTTTAAGCAATTGGAATTTTTAGTCGGTATAAGGAGGCACTTCTGAGGCTACAAGAGGGAGCTGGAGGAACTAAGTGGTACTTTAGGTAATTGGCTGTGGATTTGTTTAAGAGGACAGTTAGGACAGCCCAGTGATAGTATCTCCGGATATAACTAAAAATAAACTATAAACTAAACAATTTTCATTTCACCAGGTAATGCCCACTGAGCTGTTTATTGCAGCCGAATACCTTGCACGCACGTTTCTAAATGTGGAGAGAAAAACCGGAGTACCCGGATGAAAATCCACATGACCAAAGGAAGAACATACAAACTCCAAATATACAGGTGTCAGCGTCGGGATAAATATTTGGCATGTTTAAAAAGGGATGAAATCTTTGATGTTAAAATGATCTGTTTCAGTTTAACACGTAGGCTTTCGCGACCAATATTATCCATCATAGACGTTTTTGGGTTAGATCGCGTAAATATAATTGTATTTGGCTGTCACCTGATGATTCTAGTTGTAATTACTGGCAAAACGTCGTACTTGAATTTTAAATGACGTGGGTGTACTCTCCAACACCCGGTGTGCTGTACTAGTAATGAATGGGCATTTTGTTAACGTGACAAACCTTACTAATTGGCTGTGTTTGAGTGGTGTAGGGTTTAATGACGCATAGGTATTTACGTGATCTGTTTCAATTTTCATGGCACAGATGTGACTGTGCAAGGTGGATGAAATAAACTTTTACTTTTAGATGACTCTTCTTTTTGTTATCATTTATGACCTAATAGGCACACATAATGAAGGAGACATATCAATTTCTGTATCCATTCTATAATAGAACTCACCATTTAACATGCCTTGACGTTTTTATTATTGTAAATAAGCATGCATCATGGCTCATTTGTGTGATGGAGACCGCCGATGTAAAAAATAATAATTAAAGTAATTTCCATTATGGACGTGGCATTTTCTTGGCAGTCACAATTTGCACGTTCACGCAACTGGGAACGGAGCCAAGATGTAGTTGCCAGATCTACTCAGGCAGGAAACCAATTAAAACCCCTCCCATTGCAAAGTGAATGCATGAATCAATTAAGGCTTCTGAGTTATTTGGTTTCTTGTATGAGTTTGCTCCGGGGTAAAATTGTCAATATTAACAAGCTTAGTTTACAATGCATAATTTACAGGTATACAAAATGTAACAATGGTAGAAAATGCAGTGCTACACTTATAGTTATGAAGAATATTAATATGAAGCGACCTGGCCACAAATGACACTCAGTTGAGAGTCCTTGTAGGCAACGTATTTGTGTTTTTATGTGACTGTCCTTACGTAGGAATATGACTACGTGATCTAACACAAGCTAAAATTATTTACATAAAAAACAAGCATGCAGCAATGGTCATGTATGTTGGTAATCCTTAACGAGTTGTTGATATATTCCACATTCCCATGGCAGGGACGGTCTAAAAAATAATCGCTATTTGCTTCCACAAGGAATCCTATCATAGACTATGGAGTGGAACAACATTTTTCAACCCCACTCAGAAAAAAAAGTTTGGTCCAGGGAACTGCCCTGAGGCCCCAATATTCACTGCGGTGGCGAGATATTAACTACCTCACCTAGTATAGAGGAGGTCGTGGGTTCGATCCTATCCTTAACGCCTGCATATTTGGAGTTTGCGTGTTCTCCCAGTGGTCGTGTGAATTTTTCTCTGGGTCCTCCGGTTTTCAGAAACATGCGTTTAGAGTACTTGGCTGCCACTATACATTCCCAGATGATAAGCCACTTCGTTGAGCCATCATTTGTGGCCAGGTCGCTTCTGAAAAAGAGCTGTATAGCTCAGTGGGCCTTTCTTGGTAAAATAAATGTTTAGTTTAGTTTAGTTCCCAATGGAAAACATGGGTGATTTGGCCAATACAACCAACACATGAATTGGGCCTAATATATTTAAGAATACAGGGCATGTAAATAGTGGATAATGGAGCACGAATGGTCTCTCCATGTGCACAGTGCTGCTGTCTTAGCACACCTGCAGGCACTTGCATGTGCGCCATGGCTCCCACAGACATCTCTTGTAAAATAGCCGGGCAACTGACTAAACGAGATAATCTGTGTAACAAATCAAATGCAGTTACATACAAAATTCGCAATTTTCAGATTGTGGTAACAGCCAGTTCCTTCCATGTCATTAACAATGATCCAACACATAGTGCACAATTCACAGGGCTCTAAATACGAAACTTTACAGTTCTGCAATGAAATGCAATACAAAGTAATTGGGTTCAACTTACAATGGGCAGTGGTCCAGTCCTTTGTTTTTGCCCTTGCCTTTCTTCACGTACTTCTTCACCGCATGAGATGCGTGCAGAAGCCCAAAGACCAGCACTGCCCAGATTAGTGCTCTCAGCACCGCCATCCTCTAGTGGACATCTAACGCACGGGATCATCCAGACAGGCTCAGCACCTCCTGCAAGAAGGAAAAAAAAAGCATTGCAATGCCATTGTGAAGGTGCCATCCTTCATTGCTATTTCGCAGTTTAAGCAAACACTCAGCCCCTCACACACTTTCATCAAACTCCCTGGGTCAACCTCCGCTAATGCAGAAGTGGCATCTTCTCTGGTGCCCCTGGAATATGGAAACGCCATTCCCCAGCCACCTGTGTTATTGACTTACTGTTCATGCCCAGTCTCAAGAATTGCTTCATCACTTCAGCCTATGACTGACTATTTCGTATCCAATGTGTATATATGTCGCAGTGTACACGATGCACACATTACACTGTTTCTGTGCAATGTCTTGAGACGCACCTGTACGCAGACGCTATACAAATCCAAATTGCATTATAATGCTTGCCCCAGGATGACGAAGCGAGTGATTGTTGGCCCGATTGTCATCCAGTCACACTGGCAACTTTGCTCCAATGACAACTTAAATAATGCAGTGAATCGAGAGAAATATCGAGCAATGGCGAAACGGCTTCTGAGTTCTTCCCGCACATCTGAAAGTGCACAATAACCCAGACGTTTATATCTCGACTTAAAGCTTTCGTGACTGAAGGAATTAATATTCTTGGGTCTTTCGGTAAAGTCACGTAAATAGGTTCAAAGAAAATAACAAAAAAATAACAAAAAACTGCGACGTTTCGATCGCAAATCAAGCGGTCGTCTTCAGGAAAAGGGGGGTTATCTTCCAAGGCAAACTGCGCCGACTCCTTGGTTGTGGCGCTGTGATCTGCCATTAACATGCTAATCTCTCTTTAACATGCTAATTTTCACCTGGCAGCCCTTTGATTTGTGGAAAACCAACCACCGTCAGGTTGGCTGTTCACCAATTACAGTGAGGGAAAAAAGTACTTGATCCCTTGCTGATTTTGTACGTTTGCCCACTGACAAAGAAATGATCAGTCTATAATTTTAATAGTTGGTTTATTTGAACAGTGGGAGACAGAATAACAACAACAAAATCCAGAAAAACGCATGTCAAAAATGTTATACATTGATTTGCATTTTAATGAGGGAAATAAGTATTTGACCCCCTCTCAATCAGAAAGAGTTCTGGCTCGCAGGTGTCTTTTATAAAGGTAACGAGCTGAGATTCGGAGCACACTCTTAAAGGGAGTGCTCCTAGTCTCAGCTTGTTACCTGTGTAATGGGTTCAATTTAGGCGCACACACTTCTTGGGAGGCAACACTCATTTATTAATTAACACAACGTTTACTCAACGGTTACTCTTACTCTACACATAGGGTGGTGACCACCGACCTACACTAGCTAACACACAATTGTATTTTAGTCTCTCTCCAGCGTGACCCAGCCAGGTGGCTGCTGGCAGTCCGCTCACTGTAGGTCTTCTCTTCTGGCATCTTCACGAGGTGTCTTCATTCTTCTCAGGAACAGCCCTGCTCTGCCTTCACACCACCCTTATATCTCGTCTCTCTCTGGCGTGGCCGGCTCCGCCCAGGCCACGCCTCCCTTCCCAGGCCACGCCTCACTTCCCAGGCCACGCCTCACTTCCCCCACCTCTGGGAAGGTCCGGATCCCTCCAGCACGTGACCCCCCAGGCACCCCCTTGGGGCCCCCAGCCCTCGTACGGGCCAACACAGTAGTGACCGTTCTGTCACTACACCTGTATAAAAAACACCTGTTCACAGAAGAAATCAATCAATCAGATTCCAAACTCTCCACCATGGCCAAGACCAAAGAGCTCTCCAAGGATGTCAGGGACAAGATTGTAGACCTACACAAGGCTGGAATGGGCTACAAGACCATCGCCAAGCAGCTTGGTGAGAAGGTGAGAACAGTTGGTGGGTTTATTCGCAAATGGAAGAAACACAAAAGAACTGTCAATCTCCCTCGGCCTGGGGCTCCTTGCAAGATCTCACCTCGTGGAGTTGCAATGATCATGAGAATGGTGAGGAATCAGCCCAGAACTACACGGGAGGATCTTGTCAATGATCTCAAGGCAGCTGGGACCATAGTCACCAAGAAAACAGTTGGTAACATACTACGCCGTGAAGGACTTAAATCCTGCACCCCCGCAATGTCCCCCTGCTCAAGAAAGCACATATACATTCCCGTCTGAAGTTTGCCAATGAACATCTGAATGATTCAGAGGACAAATGGGTGAAAGTGTTGTGGTCAGATGAGACCAAAATGGAGCTTTTTGGCATCAACTCAACTCGCCATGTTTGGAGAAGGAGGAATGCTGCCTATGACCCCAAGAACACCATCCCCACCGTCAAACATGGAGGTGGAAACATTATGCTTTGGGGGTGTTTTTATGCTAAGGGGACAGGACAACTTCACCACATCAAAGGGACGATGGACGGGGCCATGTACTGTCAAATCTTGGGTGAGATATATCTTGGGTGAGAACCTCCTTCCCTCAGCCAGGGTATTGAAAATGGGTCGTGGATGGGTATTCGAGCATGGCAATGACCCAAAACACACGGCCAAGGCAACAAAGGAGTGGCTCAAGAAGAAGCACATTAAGGTCTTGGAGTGGCCTCGCCAGTCTCCAGACCTTAATCCCATAGAAACTCTGTAGAGGGAGCTGAAGTTTCGAGTTGCCAAACGTTAGCCTCGAAACCTTAATGACTTGGAGAAGATCTGCAAAGAGGAGCGGGACAAAATCCCTACCTGAGATGTGTGCAAACCTGGTGGCCAACTACAAGAAACGTCTGACCTCTGTGATTGCGAACAAGGGTTTTGCCACCAAGTACTAAGTCATGTTTTGCAGAGGGGTCAAATACCTATTTCCCTCATTAAAATGCAAATCAATTCATAACATTTTTGACATTCGTTTTTCTGGATTTTGTTGTTGTTATTCTGTCTCTCACTGTTCAAATAAACTTACCATTAAAATTATAGACTGATAATTTTCATTTGTCAGTAGGCAAACGTACAACACCAGCAGGGGATCAAATACTTTTTAAATCCTTTATATTAAGTTCACTTGCTTGCTTGCGCGCTTACGACCGTGCAAATCTTTCGGTCGTTTTTTAACCCACTTCCCGTAATCCAATCGAGCTGACATTTTGCACACAGACTCGTGAAAAATGTTTTCCAAAATTTTACACCTTTTAGGATTTTTTTGTTTTATATTTAATTACCAATTGCTTAATGGTGGCAGACAATCATCTGACCCATAGGTGGCAGCCATCTCAAGCCAGAGGATGAGAGGACTCTAGCCGCCCGTTTCAAAGATCAATGTGGGCTGGGCTGTGGCCCATTGAACACGCATATAAAGGATTTATAGTGAAAAACTTTATTTTTACGGGTTAATTTTTTTCCCTCACTGTACATTACACTGGTCAACAAAAAAAAAGTTTTTTTCTGGCCTGGACTTTTGCAGCTGCTGATTCCAAATCTGATCTCAGATTTGCTCTATCACATCTCATTTTTATGCTTTCGGCATACCCCATTTTTATTGATATTACCCGAAATGAACTCTGTCACTTATGATTGCAAGTTGTTGCGAGTCAGTGACTGCTTTAGTGTTAAAATATGGTGCTGTATTTTTAGGATAGTGTGTTTAAAATATCATTTTATATAGATATCCACATTTATTTAATATTTTTCTTCTGCAGTTTTTATTGAAAATGCAATATTTGATATCTCAAAAACCTGTTGTGATAGACAAAAACTGATGCCAGCTTTGGAATCAGCACCCCAAAATTACCTTAAAACCGTTGGAATACCTTATTCCAGAAAAAGTGTGTTAACCAGTGGCTGCTGATATTTGGGTTACGCCCATTTCAAACCCTTATAAAGAGTTTGCCTTGGAAGCTAACCCCCGTTTTCCTGAAGACGACTGTTTATGTTGTGATTGAAACGTCATAGGTTTTTCTTATTTTTTGTTATTTTCTTTGAAGCTATCTACGTGACTTTACCGAAAGACCCAAGAATAAGTAACCCAGACGTGCCACGGTTGTCTTAAATTGGCCCATTAAACTAAACTAAACTTTTATTTTCTATTTTACCAAATAAGGCTCACTGAGTATACAGAAGCGACATGGCAACAAATGACAGCTCAACAAAGTTGCTTAACACATAAAAATGTATCGCAGCCAATTCCTCTAAATGCACGTTTATAAATGTGGAGGGGAAAACTTGAGGACCCGGAGAAAAATCCATGCGACCATGGGGAGAACATGCAAACTCCAAATATACAGCAGGCATTAGGGTCGGGATCGAACCCATGACCTCCTTCATACCAGGCGAGGTGGTTAACATCTTGCCACCGTAGTGCCCCATTGACAAGGCCATGCTGAGCCACACTTCATCCTCATTAAACATAGATACACGGGCACTATCCGGAGGAACTGCAGGGCAACGACATGTCGGTGTTATACGGCTAAATTACATAGCAGTGACAGAGCAATAACCATTAGACATGCGTGGTGAACCACAGAGTGACTGAGCAATGCCAGGGCTATGCTCTTGCAATTGTTCTATTCTTGCCCTATGACAGTTTTTCTCTTGCTATATGACCTGTGTTGGGCTGAAAAAAAAAATTAGGCTCATAAAAACGTGGAAGCATGTGAGAACCCCATTGAGATTGACAATATTGTTGCAAGCGATTCCTGATTATGGTAGGGATAGTTGATATTCGATTTTTTTTTTGGCGAGGCCACTTTGTAGATTCATGCCAAATATTATCGTCATTAACCCTCCACCACAGGAATTTTGGCGGAAAAATTGGCACGTAACCTAACCAGAAGATCCCGCCGCCTACGTTTTACAGTTAACATTTAATTTGCGGATGATTTTAAACCTTCAATTTGGGCTGAAACACAACATACTCTATATCCCATTGTCGACCGGCACCGCAATTACTCGAACACCAATCCCTACAGAATCACAGTCAGCAGTGGGAGGCAGACAACTGTGCCCAGCTGACAGAGTGACAAGCCAGTGGCACAGCCATTCTGTGGATATTGATGTCACCCTATTCGCGAATGGTTC